TAGAATAAGATCCTTTCGCTACTATTAAATATCAAAATCCGTACTATTTAGAATAGTTAGAATCTACGGTAGAAATCTTAGATGCATAGAATGCTTTCGAAGATTCTAGAACATTTCAGAATGATCTAAACATTATTATTACTGACGTGCCTTTTTTCATTGCTAGGAAAACGTACTCAATGATCTTTGGTTTTCCCCCCCCCCCCCCCCCCCCAGTTGCTACGACCAATGGGGAAGCCACAAAAAGTTCGATTAAAATTTACACTCGTCATTTTCTTCGAAAATATATGTGGATTGCACAAAATATCATTCTTGTAGGTCGTATAGACTAAAACATATTTTTCGATGATGTCTACTTTGAAAATTTGCTTAAATTCTTAGAAACTAGATATTCGTATAAAAAAGTATACACTTCAATTTAACAGAAGTATCCATTAAAAAGTTTAGCTTTATCTATCCTACCTTGATTCTATTTTCTACAAATAATGTGGAGAAGTTAAATGTTTTTTTTTTAATTTCACAGCATCCTACAACGATGGTTACAGCTAGGCATGCATTGAACTCGAACTCTGATTCGATGTTCAAATACAGACGACTCTGAAATATAAGTATTGGTGAAGGTCTTCTCTTCACGTACACATTTCTTCACTCATCACTTCCACACACTCACTATACACCCGCAATAAATATTGAATTATTACTGTAAATTGTGATAAAACCTATTTGAAATGTCGCTTCGATTTTGATTAAAATCTTTTTTAGCTAAACACAAATCAATGAACCTTACTCGTATATGATGAACATGACTTTATCAATAACAAAAAAAATCATTTAGATAGTCAACATCTATCCAAACTATTTATTTCTCATTCACAGAACTCAGGTTAGATTCAACCAATAATAACACTTTATTTTAAGACTTAGATTACTTTCAAGATCATTTATTTTATACATATCATTTTATCTTATACAACACTTGATAATAGTATTAAAGAAAAGCCTTTCTTTATACGATGTACAACTTTCTACATATGACCTTAATTCTACCTACATCAAAACGTTTTTCTGGTTACAAGCTGACATTCTCTATAGATTACTAGAAATGCCTTGAGCTCAAAAGTCTTTATTAAACAAAATCTTACGTTCTCTACAAATTGCTATAACTTTTCTTAAAATAAAATAATTTTTGATTAAAATTTTTTAAAATAACTAGTAAAGAAATCATATCATTCTAATGTACTATAGCATCTGCATGTTAGAAAAAGAATTGGAGCATCCGACTAAGCTGTTCATCTCCGTATTAAAAGTTATAACTCAAAGACTTCGTAGGATTTCACGCGAGTTTAAGATTGAATCCTCTTCTATTTCTCCCTTGGGCTGGGACGTGAGTCTGAGGAGTGGGTATGGTTGAGAGTGTTCTTTTTACTCACATCAGAGATCGAAACGGGATGAATTTTTTACTTCTCGCCTTGCCTCAAATAGAAAGTTTCTTTGATGCAGGACCTCGTTCTGAGCTCACATTCCATTTCAGGCTGTGATATTGATATATATGTATTGAGAAAAGATACAATAGGAAAGAGCTAGAATGATATTAGTTCTGAAAAAACAACATGATTTCTGATGCTAGAAGTCATTGTGATGCTATGGAAAATCAAAGAAATCGCTTGCTAAAATCTTGGTCGTAAAACATCTTTAAATCATAGTTGTCTTCTACAATACATTGGATTTTCAAGCTTCAACTTCAAGAAAATGTTTAACGACACGCTACTTATGTAATGGATGGCTCATCAGAATTGAGGTATTTTTATTTTGTTTTTTTAGAAATAAAAATCACACTCCAGAGGTTTCACTCCATGCTCAACAGACAGACCATTTGGAATCCTGTAAAACTCTTGACTTTGTTTTCTAGATATGTTCCTTTTATTGTCGAAAAATTGAAAAAACTGAACGGATAGTTAGTCGCCTGACTAAATCTTCAATATTTTCGCAGAATATCAATCGATTTCTGTAAGCTTGTGTGTCATTAAGTCCTATTCGAAGTTAGAAGTATTTTGGATCAATAAATAGAGAATTTTATGTTTTTACATATCTAGCATCTTCACAAGGTTCCAGTCGTAAGAGAATAATGTAAAATTTAAACTAATCAAATAAAATATTTAGGTAGAACTAAAATACGAATAAATATTGCCAGAGATCTACTAAAAAAGAATTTTTTCAGAGTTTTCGAATAATTATTTACAAAACTTGTCCTAAATAATTTTTTTTAAAACTAGTTGACATATATCGATAGATTGAAAATTCGATGGAGAATCTTATAGTTTATTCTAAATTTCGACAGAACTCTTATTTTTAAAAAAATGCTTTATCAAGCTAGATTTTCAAAGTGTTACATTTGAACAATCGAGTATCGACAAGTATTTTCGGCTTGTTATCAACAAGACAAGCTTATGTAAAAAAAAAAAGCGAAGTCAATAATATTTAAAAGTGTTCCTCTCGTTGTGAACCATCTATTGCAATTAGATTATGCTATATTACCAATCATAAAAGCACATCTCAGTTGAAATATAGAAGTTTTCATTAAAAATACAAACAGAATATCATAGAATTTCAATGTATTGGAAATCATTAGAAAATATGAAAAATGAATAGAAACTAACTAAAGTAAAAAAAATATTGTACGAATCAGTTTTTTTTTCCTCCTTGATACTATCTAACACATCCGCTATAAAAATTTAAGCTGATCAGATTCAATTATCTTCAGATTTTATATAGAAAAAGTTAATTTCGCCAAACAACTCGAATCGATCTTTTCTACTAACTCACTACAACGTTAAATTTTGATTTCAGTGTATTAATAAAAAAGTGTGTTCCACTTTTGATTAGAATTAGATTAAATCACGAAACAAAAAAAAATTTTTTTTAATTTTTATTTTAACAAAAAAACAATTTTAAAAAATTGGATATTTACAAAATTTTCAAATATAAATTATTTACTGTTCTTTTTTGATAAATTGAAGAAAATTATAAAAATGTTTCATTTCAAAAGTTTTCAAAATTTCATTTATATCTAACTTGGCAATCATTTTGCTCAAATCAGCTATTGATATATGATACCAACCATCTTCACTACGCCAATAAAAGTGAATCATCAAAGTCTTCGAGTGTTTGAAACTTTTCAACATTTCCATAACACAATATGATGCATAATTATCTAAATTTAATTCCGAATCTAAGAAGAATTGTATTTCGACATGTTGTAGATTGGGAAAATAAATATAACCTAGTTTTAACATATCGGAAAGAGCATATAAATTAAGTATCTTTAATCTTTCAATTCTTTTATCCACTTGTGGAAAGAATTGAGTCGTACCGGATAAAACTAAATGTTTTAAATTTGGTAAAATATCAAGTATCCATTGTTTAATATCTTTCATTGATTCATCTTCGAATTGAACAGTAGTTACACTATCTAATGTTATATCAATTTTTTGTAATTTATCATCGCTTATAGATGAATCTTTTGTTGTTTCAAAATATGGAAAAGAAAATGAATTAAATGTAATTGATATTAAATTTGGCATTTTT